CAGATATTTACGCCGTTTAGTTTAGGCACACGTTATATTTAATGTAAAATATGAAATGAAAAATTTAATTGAGAAAGTATGAAATGTCACAGTGATGTAGGTCCTTAATGGACTATCAAATCATGCATCCTAACACTAAACTTATCAAATAAAACATTTTTTTTATAGTTTAATATTTTTGTAATTTTCCACAAAAAATAATTGAAAATGTAAATATAGGGTCCGAACTCAAAATATTAAAGGAACTGCAGCTTTAACAATATATTATATTAAATATTTATATATTAAATGTTGTAATAGACACACTTTTATAAAAAGTGCTTTTAAGGTTTCAAAATGAATCTTAACAGTACTTTTTTCACAAATTATTTCAAACAGTATGAAAAGTGTTGAAAAGTGTTTTTTTTTTGGTTTTACAGGTATATTATGGTCTAGTACTGCATAAAATTACATAGAAGCTCTTCAGATATTTGTAGGTCTATATAGGTCTATAGTTTTAAATTGATTCTTAAATATCATATGCTGATGAAAAAACTGTATTGGTAGGTATGTTCTTTATATATAGTTATAGTTTCCTCAAATTTGGTATTAAAGTTGTTTTTACAACATTGGCACATCTTCCACACAGGAGTAAGATATATATCATATATTATATATATGTATATCATATAAACGGACATAAATATACACTTCTAGTCAAAAAATACTTTTCAGAGTGAGTACTTCATGAGGATTGTTGAAGCTTTAACCAAACTGCAGATAAGTATTTTAATTATTTTTTTATTCATTTTATTAGTAGTAATAAAAATAAACTAATTTTAATAATAAAATATAATAATAATATAAATATGTTAATAATGTTATACTATTTTAATAAAGGTAGTTTTATTTTAATTTTACTTTGACGAGTTTGGGAGAGGATTTCGAAGTTCAATTTAAATAATATGAGCATATTATGAACTACTTATACATTAGACTATTTTTACTTACTTACTTAATTGGCCATTACAGACGTGAGTCATCCTTGACCGCGTCGAATAGCCTCCGCCAGCCAGCGGGATTAGTTGCTTGCTGTCGACAGTTGCTAGTACCAAGCGCCCACTAATTGGACTATCTTTATATTAAATTAATATAAACACATATTAATGTTAATATATATAATATATATATAATATATATTTTTTTATCAAAATTGCCAATAATACTATATAATGAAATAAGTATCCATTTCTTGGTAACCGTTGAATCTTATACCATTAGCCACAACTATTTTTATTAACTGTCATGTTTTAGGACATTGGCTATTTTTTGTCTGTTCTTATCTACTCAGCTGACAGGTTTTTTATCAATAAAATATTATGACGGAGCCTTTAGTATATCTAAGCAGTGAACATTTTTTCATGCCATATCTTTTCTTGCCGACTGTTATGTTTTATAATATTTTGTATAACTTTTTCTGGATACTGTCTATTTATCTGGTTGATGAATAGTACACATTATTAATTGATGGAACCGTGTTGTATATACAATTACATATCGTCTAAAGAAGTCCGTTTTATTTCCTTCAGGTATTTATAACCAGTTAGCACTTTACAATTGCTAATACGATAACTCTCCTACATCTAGCAATCGAAAATCTATGTAATACTTTTCGTATCCTAAATTCCATATTCATTATTTCCGTCCGGATATTTCCTTTTGGAATGTCTTCGCTAGTTAACGATATAAATTGATTAAACTATTAAGCGTTTATAATTTTTTATTATATAGAGAAGATTTTCGTATTCTATTCAAGTATGTTCAAATAGCAAAATATTTTTCATCCCTTCTATGACCCGATGAATATCTTAGCTTTCGCACTCTAGAATGTAAATTCCATATCTCTTTTCACTGACTTTTGGGTTTTTAGTCAACTTGGCTTTAAGAATAAACCATATAAGTTAATTCCGATGTTATAGTAAACAATAAGATAGCTAGAGCTGTTCTTTGATGAAAGATCTTTTCAAAGTTTTTCAACATTTTAATTTTTGAATTATATATGAGTTTTATTGAAAATAATTATTAATATAATTTTTAAAACTTTCTATAATAACATTCATTATTTATTTATACTAGGGCAGTATGCTTTTGGTAAGGAATTTAGCACTATTGACATTCGCTCCAAATAAATTTTTATTCACATGAAAGAGCTATTAAAACTCAACTTTCATTCGAAGCCAATATGTAGGTAGTATAGTTTTTTATTTGAACTTCGTGATAAGCTCCAGTTGTGTAAGGTAATAAATTGATGACTACAGGATGTCATGATGTAAAGGATTAAGTGAATGTAAACAGTGCCATCTGTACGTCAACAACTGAATGACATGAAATCGTAATTATCGAAGCGTGATTAAAATTTAATTGTGTGCTGAGCACATATGAAACCTTTTCCACCCAATACTTTTTATATACTTTAAACTGATATAAAAATATATTACTGGTTGAGCAGCATTTAAATTTGACAACATATACCAAGGAAATATATATGTCAGTAGTTAAAATATATAATAAAAATATATATTTATTAATTTATTCAAACATATTCAAACAGGATATTAATTTATGCAACATTTGTTTGGCATTTAGTTTTCATCCTTTTTTGTTTGTTATGGTTGAATGTGTTTATAGAAATTTCTATAAATTTGTAAATAATTAAATATTCAATATTTATATCAATCAATTTTTTGAATTCTCAAATATATTCATAAAAACACTCATAATTTTTTCATAAAGTTTTTGTCAAGAGTAATCAGCGTTGCAACCACAAAATTTAATTATATTTAATTTATTGCACTTATGAATTAATTAAACACTCAATCCAAGTACAATTTTGCTTTGGTTTATTGAAAGTTTAGTTTTTTAATGAAAATAATAATTTAAAAATTATTAAAATAATGTTGCATATTTTAATTTCAGTAAGTTCAGTAAAGAATTAAGCAAAAACTCAAACACTACCAATTGAAATGTTTATGCTCGAAATATTTGAATTGGGATTTGCTGGAAATTTACTCTAAGAGAATGCACTGATCCTTAAATAAGCTGAACCTAGATTAAGATTTGCTTAAAAATTACACTTAATATGTACACTAATCCTCAAATGACCTGACAATGAGTTAATATTTACCTAATAGTAACACGAAATAAGTACACTAATCCTTAAATTAGCTGACCTTTCATTGGAAATTACCTTAAACTTATATTTAATAAGGGCACTAAATCTTAAATTTGCTAATCTTAGATTAAAATTCAGATAAAAGTTATAGTAAATGGTTAAATGGGATATTAATCCTTAGATTAACTAGAGGGTAATTTAATTAGTAGAATTGCTTAGCCAAATAGTTTAGTAGAGGTGTTCAGGGATATCGACGATTCGTTAAGGATTAATAAATTTGTAGAAGCTTTCTTATAAGTTAGGTTGTGAAAGTTTCTATTGGAATATACTTAAGCCTGAAACGTGTTGTGTAACCATTACCAGATATATTATACTACCTCAATGCATTGCTTCAAAAATCATTATTTTAAACAAGGCAGTTTTGATAGGTTTTTGACTTTATAATAATTTTATATATTGTCCCGATTTTCTATATATAAACAATAAACGCAATAAAACCGAAAGATTACTTCAATTAATATCTATAATGGAACAAAAGTATTACTTAGTTTTGTTTGAGATAATACCAATAAGCCGTATTTAATTTTAAATTGTACAATCTTTATTTGTTAATGTATAGCAGCATACTCCCGGCACAAATAAAATCCAGACCACAGTAAAGAACGTGACTTATAGTTTCATTTCCGCCAAGGCTGAGACTATATTTTTTATATGTTTCCTGTAAGTATTAAGTTATCTCAGTTTTACTCTTTTAATGTTCATCATACAATATATTTCGTTACCGCAGGCACAGCTATCTCAATGAAAAGCTAGTTCAAACAATGGTTTCGTCTCAAGTCAGAAATAGGTTACTTTCAGTTCTATTTCATTGGTGTCTTTTTTACTAATGGAGACAATTCATCCATAAATCAATTGAGTACTTACTTGTGGTTCATTTAATATCATTAGAAGTTCAGGTTAACAGATTTAATAGCTAATGCAATTATTGTGAGACCCTCTATGAATTCTTTGCCGTTACCAGCGTTACTAGGTATCTTGGCAATGCTACCTGTTTATATTTGTATATTTGTTTTCTTAAATCCAAAAAGACACGATTTTTAAGAAGTGCAGAGGAAGCGCAAACGAATTAATTGTGTATTGATTCGTATATATAACTTCTCGGAATTTTTTCTGCAGTATATAAGTAAAAACAAACAATATATAAGTAGCTTTTCCATTAATTTTTTAGTTGGTAATATTTAAATATATCTAAAGAAAACAAAATTTTAGAACGCTTAAAATTTATATTCCCAGCCTTGTTCAAGATACAGTGGAAGTGCTTTGGTGTGTACTCCCGCTACAATTTATAGGACACTACCAAATAGGAGTTATTCACAGACAAAGTCTTTAAATTCCCAATTAAGACACAACACTTTTAAAAATCAAAGACAGAATCAAGGTCTCGTTAAAATGTTAAGCCATTGAAGCAAGATTAAGTCGCTAGAATTTCTTTAATAGACAAACAACTCTATCAATCATGTCTCTAACTGGAACCGCTAAGAACACGGAGGTTTACGTATGGTGTCTTTGTTTTTATCCACACAACCTAATCTAATTTAAATAGAATTTTCCTAAACTTATAAGTAGTGCATAATTTTTATGTCAACTTTAGTTAATATTTTATTAAAATAAAAAAAATTATATTCTATATATATAAAGTGTGTGGAAATTTGTCATAGATATAAACAATTATAAAGTTGAGATATCTTTTTAAAAGTTAAATTATATTTGTGTAATCAAATTTATTTTGTGTAATCAAAAATTTTAAATTATATTTGTGTAATCAAAATTAAATAAAAAATATACAATAATGAAATTTCATATATATATTTTAATATACATTTTCTTATGCATCCTTTCAGTAAGTATAATTTATATAAAGTATTATTTTTACTTCAGTAATAATGATTATATCAATAGCCAACAACAGGCAATGTAAAACTCACCGATAATGCATATACAGCGGTAATACCTAATATATATAGTAATTTTTTTTTTCTTTACTAATAATGAGTATCTCGTTAGTTACCAATAGGCGTTGAAACAACACTCATCATTAATGAAAATACAGAGGTAAGTACATCTTGATGAAGTTTATCTTAAGTGACCTAAAAATTATACAAAATTTTATTTTAATATCGCATATACTGCTTTATTAAAAGAAATTGTCAATACTATATCATATGTACTAATTACTTTATTCTTAGCTGTCAGAACATTATAGACCAGTTGGAAAATCAGATTATGTATCTGCACATGGGGTATGCTTTGAAAAAATCAGATCTGAGGTGGAATACAGCTTAAGTTATTTATTGATGAAATTTCCAAGGGATGAAAGTAGTGATTGTTATATAAAATGTCTCATGGATTATTGGAATTTTTACGATCCCGTAATTCCACATCGCTCAGTTAAACGCTTGTGCAAACAGCTCACCTATTGGTATCCAAACTATGTAGAAGAATGCAATAATTCAATTGAGGCATGCATTAGCAAATATCCTGATGAAGATAGCTTATTTGAAGCTTGCTCTTGGATTGGCAATGTTACTAAATGCTTTCTGAAGCAATATAGAAAATCATTGTTATTAACATTTATTATATAACTCTACAACAAAAATTCATGCTAAAAATCATTAACAAGTTTTAATGTAAAAAAAACGCCAAACGTCACAAATGTCAGATACGAGAAGAGGTTAAAAATAAATACGATATTATGCATATATGTTAAATAATGAGGTGTTAAGCTGAAAACAAGACTCTATAGAGGAAATATGAAACCAGTTCTTTTAAGTTCAGTGAGGCTTAATTCAGCTGAAAGAGCATACTTAATCTAGTTTTATTGTCAACTCCCTAACAATTCAAGTCTTCGAAAACGGAGATATGTGTGCGCTATTCTTCGAGTGTGAACTTTCGAGAAACTTGCAACGAGTTTGCAAATGTAGTAAAATTAACATACAAAGTCGTTAAAGACTTTAGTACGGATTTAGTCTTTAGTGTATCTTTGACGACCAACAACGGTAACACCGCAAACGTAAATACTGAAATGAAATTCACATTGATTTTGCTTTTTGTCGTTGCAGCTGTGGTAAGTGAAACTGCAATTTTTTTTAAAAAAATAATAATTTTAAAATAATTTAAAATAAATTTTAAACATTTTTAACTTAACACTTTTTTCATCACAAACACTATGGGCCGATACCACACTTGATATCAAAACTAACTTAAGTGTAACTTAATTGGTATGACTTAAGTCAGCATTGATTGTAAAATCCGCTCTAAATTGCTCCTTTATTTGATCTTAACTGAACTAACTTTAATTTTTTCTTTTAGGCCAATGCAAAGTTTGAGGTGCGGAATAAGGAAGATGCATTGAAAGCACATGAAGAATGTCTTGAAGACAATACAGTCCCTGATGAGATCTATGAAAAATTTTTGAATTATGAATTTCCCGAACATAAGCGCACCAATTGCTACATAAAATGCTTTGTCGAAAAAATGGGTTTGTTTACTGAGCTCAAAGGCTTTGATGAGAACGCAATCATAACACAATTCACATATAAAAACTTTAAGAATCTAGAATCAGTACGTCATGGACTCGAGAAGTGTATTGATCATAATGAATGGGAATCAGATACCTGCACTTGGGCAAACCGTGTATTCTCGTGTTGGTTGAAAATAAATCGTCATGTTGTGCGTAAAATCTATGGTGATGCTTAAATTTTTAAGTTAAAATATATAAACAAAAAAAAAAAAATTAATTATATAGTGGTAGACATATGTGCTAATAATAAAAACACTCTATCAACTGAATGTGATATTTTCTAATTCAATTAAAATAAACTTGAATGCATAGAGTGTTGGCGTATTTTTCGAAATGGTTTTGAAGATTTTTATTAATTAATGTGTTTTTTCAGTTAATTTTTATTAATTTTATTCTTATCTTATATATTATATATGCAATGTTGTGTATATCAAACATTTGCTATTAATACTAATTCGTTTATTTAGCTCTCATTTCTTGGATGAGTCGTCAGTTTCATTGTTGACTGTATTATCTAAGTTATTATTGTTTATGGCTGCAATATCTAAATTTTTTAACGGTGATTCAGTACGTGAAGCTGGATCAATATTGTAGTTTAAATTCTCTATACATAAATACTCTTCATACATCCAACTGCATGTATCTGTTTTATCAATTTTTTCTTTCAATGCCTTACATACGAAGGCTTCTTGTTGTTCATATTTGACTGGACCAAAAGCCTTAATCCAATTATCAAAATTCCATTCATAAGCTGGTGTATAGAAATTCATTTTATCAGCCAAACATTTAAAGAGACATGGAATTTCCTCAACAGCAGGGAAATATCCATATCTTTGTAGTTGTTCCATGCTAGCATTCAAATTAGTGGCACAGTTTAGTAAACTTGTGTATGTTTCACGTGTTTGTACTTCAGCCTATAATAATATTGCATTTAGCAATTAAATTTTATACTAATTGAAATAAATATTCATACCAGCTTTAAGCACTTAAGACCTTTGTAAGCAAATTCACAAGCATCATCGTATCTGCGATCCAACTCAAAGCGACAATAGTTATACATATCACCGCCAAGTTCTTCAACTAATTGTGCCTTATTCCACTTATTCTCTTCAATATTAAACCAATTCCTTTCATGTGCTATACAACGTGTGAAACAAGGTATTTCCTCATCTGTCCAGTTTTTGTAACGTGCCACCTTCAGCAGTTCTTCCTTTGCAACGTTGCCACTGGCTCGGCTCAAGCATTTACGTAGAATGGCTGTGTCTCTGTCGTTTTGTTCAAAACAGTTAATCTATATGGATTATACAATTCCATTAGAAAAATCACTTTTTAATTGAAAAACAAAATGTAATAATATTTACTTTAAACACAAAAATTCCAAAGAACAACAGAACAACACAAATACTTTTCATCTTACAGAATCCGCACTTTAAGTGTCTTTATCTTCTCAATTTTAAAACAAAACTGTTTTGTGTTCTTACTTGGCATACGGCATAATTCTATACGCTTATCAACAGTCCATTCAATTAAAATACAGCCGTAGCCGCGGCTTATCATGTACATATTTCATTACAAGTAATAAGTTTTAGCTCGTAAAAGTTGAGTACATATATAGTTTTTTGTCAGTATTTACCTGCCACATATTTCACTTTGAACTTAGGTTGTAGTCGTTAAAATTTTTCATAAATCATGAGTTAATTGCGATGTTCATAAAACAAGGTTGACAGATGGATATTGTTATTTACACAAAGCATTTTCAATCATATACATTGTATGATATACTCTATGCAAGTAGATAGAGGTTATCACTTCAATATTATTATTTTTTCTAAAATTTGGAAAAGTGTCATTGCACTTGCAACTTCTTACTCATATACATTATAAAAAAATATGAATGCCTTGATTCATCCAAAAAACACCATTGATTTGTAGTTGGTTCTTATGTAAATCCGATTTTTGAGGTCAAGGTTGATTTTAAGAAGAAAACAAAAGATAATGTTCGTTAATATAAATTTTGAGTTTTGGACTGATATGAGGAACACAGAAGAAGAATGGTCATTGTTTTACACTGCATACTTTAATAAAGTTATAATATACTTATTACATCATCTTTTTATCAATTATAATCACTTATAGCCTAATAAAAAATAGTGCAACATAAATCTTATAATTATTTTTCTGATAGAGTAACAACTATCGGGTTTGGGTATCGGGTTTAATCTAGCATCATTCTTTCCGATTTAATTTTGGGTTTTTCTCATTATCTCTAGTCGTACATATCCCACTGTAGTACTCTATATTCAATTCATCGCCAAAGAATTAATAAAAATATATCGTGAATAAAAAATTGATAATAGATAACATAAGAGAAGATCTTCCTTATGCGTTTTCAATTTTTTATGTTATACCGAGTGTCTTCAGCCACTTTAATATGTGAAACTTTCTGAACTGATATTAGCCCAAAATGAATATATAAGATCTTCAAAAATATAAATATTTCCTCTATAATTTAGTTATTTACCAGAATTCTAAAATAGATACAATTTTGGTAGGCCAATATATAAGACTGTGATCAAAAAATAAGATGAACGTACTTATAACTTTTAAACCTTCATTTATTTTTTTAAATTTATTTTATAGCATATATACTCACACTTCTCGATACAATACTTTTATGCAGACATGTTTTCCATAGAAGTGACCATCAAGGCACGCAGTATTCGGATTTCGTCTTTTCAATTGTGTCGAAATGATGTTTCCCGAGGGAGGTCTGTAGAACGAAAGGTGTTGAAATTTTGACAAAGATGTCATAAAAAAGAAGACGAAGAAGAAGAACTAGTACAGTGTAAGATGGTGAATTTTTGTTGTATAGAAACTAAGATTTGTCTGTTTTTTTTGTCATCTTATTGAGAATAGTTTTACTTAAATGTCGCATAACGCTCAAATAATATTCATTATTAATAGTTTATCCTGACGAAAAAAATTGTATAAAGCACTACATCACGATAATTGCAGACAACTCTTTACTTGATCATTAATTATGACTCTAAGTCGATCTTTTAGATCTTGGCTCTCGTTTCGCATGATGTATTCTTAATTGGACGACTGTTTCTGGATGGTTTGCATAGAAACAAGTCCCATCTTCAGCTAACACACATTTAATTTCATACTGATAATGGGAAAGCGTTGTTTGAAGGACTTCAACGTATCATTGTTTTTTAAAAATTTCACTCTTTTCAGCACTAAACAAGATTTCATTATTTTCAGTAAAATTAAAAATTAACAGAATCAACGAAATTTCTTATTTTTAAATGAAAACTTTTTATTACAAAATCGTTGGTTTCCTTGATTCGCTGTTCATCAGTTAACGTTGATAGTCGTCCAAGTCGTCCAATGTATTCTTAACTGCGATCTTAGTTTGTATCAGGTTGGAATGCCAGCCTTCCATACCGAAACCCACTTGAGCACTAATAATAGCCCATTGTGATAAGTCATATTGATCTTAATGATAACTTGAACTACAATGACATCATAAAACATCTGCTTTACATCTATTATCTTCAGACTCTTGGAGTTAAAACACTAAAAGAACATATCCTCTGACCTTACTTTAGTCAAGCATCAGTATATTATGCACTGAAATGTATGGTGCAATAAACAGACACGATATGAGTGCTTTTAATGCCCTATCTTTAGTCATTTCTCAATGCCTGGTTAAGAACGTAAAAATCTCACACAATGGATTTCTATAGTTTCGTTATAATAAACAATGTATTGGAAAATTTTTAAGCATAGCTGTAGACTTATGCCATGTGATATCAGACGATTAAACAAGTAAAAAATGCAAGTCAGTATAAGATAATTAAAGAAGATTAAATAAAGAAAAACAACACTTACTTCTTTACAAGAATTTTGTAAAAAATTAAATGATTAATAGTTCTCTATTATATATGTATTATTTGGTATGCGAGAAGCTCCAAAATCAAATAAAGTTGTAGAATTATCAAAAAAAGTAATACATTTTTTTAATTTTTAATTATTTTTGTGTTGTTAATTTTTTAACAATATTAAAATGTATTTTAATAAAATGTATTATTAATAAAGTTTTTCAGGCAGTTCTTTCTAAAATTCAACATCCTTTAAGTAAACATTAATTTAATTCTTCTAATTACAAGGGGAATTAAATGCACTGCACATTTAAATCATTAAAAGAACACACATGTATATTTCTTTAGAAACTTTATTTCCAATATTTTACTCCTCCTTAGATAATACAAAACAAGTGAACTCCTGATACATCCAAGCGCAAGAATTACGGTTTCTTCTTCTGCTTAAAGCCTTACAGCTTTCAATATTTGCAAACGCCTTTGGCACTGCCAAATGTCTGCGCATCTCATCAATTCTCCATTGTCTACGTCTTATATCATATATTCCTAAACTATCCATAAAACATTTTGTGTAACACGGAAGAGGTTCCACCACCGGAAACCGTGAGAACTCCTTTAAACGTTGTCTATCGTGATCATTAAATTTAAATAGACATTGCCTCATAGCGTTTCTAGCTACATCACTGAGTAGTTCAATGCCATCTATTTGTATAAGTGGATCATTTTCCAACTGAATAGAATAGTGGTATTAAAAATTACCCTGATTTCTTTATATTTATTAAGCAAACTTACTTTAACCAAACAATGAAAACCATTATAGGCCACTTCACAACTATTACGTCCCGTCCACATGTGACTGCTGCATGCGTTATAAGCAGGTTCACTGAACTTTCGTATACTGTTTTCTCTATTGAATCCGGCAGTTTCATTATAAATATCATACATTTTGCTAATATAGCATTTGGTGAAGCAAGGAATTTCTTCATTCTGTTCTGACCACGTTTTATATCGTTGAAGACGCTCTGCATTTTCGTGAGTTAGACCACCAAATCTTTCTAGGCATTCATTTATAACTCGTCCCTCCGCTGTCGTTGACTTTATAGCAGCATTGCACTATTAAAATATATTCAGTTTATTAAATTAAATTTTAATTATAAATTTAATAAAGTTTTTATTCACCACTGAAATTGCAATTGAGAGCAAAAGTAATATATATTCCATCTTCATCTTCATTTTCGTTTCGATTTGGTTTTATTGGAGCATTTAGATGGCGAGACTTGCTTTTTCGAGGCTTAATCAATCCAAACTGAATAACACTCGAATGGATTGATTGAAACGAATTTTTTGATTAGACAGTCTTTTTTAATGATTTTCGTTGAGTTAAAGTAATTATCAGCAAAAATTACTTTTACACAATGTTTCTTTTATTGATAACCTAATTTCTGTATGAATTTTGAGTGAAACCTCAAGTTCATTCTCAAGTCTGTTATATAATACAATTTTGCTGATAGCACTTATATTACAAACGATTGATAGGAAAGCCCATTTTGCATTATACAGAGTCCGCAAATTGCTTTCGATTTTTTCAGAAGTCTAAATAAATACTTCACTTCATCTAAATTTAAATGAATATTTTTGTTGTGATTATCTCTAAAATCATTTAAAGTTTTTTTGCTCAGAATACTCGTGCCGGTTTACGAGTTCATCGATGTTTGCTCTTGGACAGCCTATTTTAGTAATTCAAATAACTGATTAGAAAACTGTATGGGTAGATGGCGCTAAAAATTAGCACACATGTCACTAATCTTAACCAGTGTTTCTCAATGGGAGGCGTATGCCCAATGTAGGTCTGTGTTGCGGGGAATTTAGTTAATTCATTGTGGAGGGGGAGAGTTGTTTATTTAAGAATAATGATTATTTTTCAAATTTATATAGTGGCAGAAAAACATGATTGGTTATGGGAAACAATAACGTTCGACTGATCTATTAAACTCTCTGAACTTCTTTTGTGTATATTATGTGAAAGAAGAAGAAAGAGGGCAACTTTGGAGTTTTTTTAATCGTTAACTGGGTCATACTATAATAAATTTAGAAAACTGTCTAACCAGTCGTGCAATACGAATTTTTATTGTGTACAATATATTCTGTGCAAATTAAATTCTTGGAAATTCAAATTCTTGGAAACTTTGGGTTGAAGCGTATACAAAGCATTTAGATTTAAGTGAAATATAGAACGGCATATCGGTAAAATTATATCTCGCATTCGACGAGCAAATGTTATAAACAAATGAGTTGATTAACATATAGCAGAATCATCTTAATGTTACCTTAATCATTGAAACACTGTATAATATTGTGAGTGGCGTATCCAGGATTAAACTAAAAGAAGGAAAGGATGTATTTAAAATATTTTTTTGACCCGTTTTTGCAGTTTATTAAATTTTTGTATTATGTATACTGTCAAGAAAGGATACACCTCCCCTGAATACGCTGCTGATCCTTGTATAATATAATCTTCCTTTATTAGCTGATATTACACATTTTCTAGATCTTCTGTTAATACATATTAACATAAATATTGGTGAGGCAGAGCTTTTTCTTTCGCTGAAGTAGGACATACACGGTTTTGTCACCTGTCTAAATTTCAAAACTAATCAGGCAAGGATTGACAAGACAGATTACTTCTGAAAGATATATATTTCTGAGTGGCTGCCAGGCTCATAAAGTTATTGATTCTCAGAGTGGATTAGACATTTTCAAATAAAATATTCCGTTGTTTGTTTTTTCACTTCTCTCTTTCTGTTTCTGTCTTTCTGCTTTTGCCTTTCTGATAAAATAGATTGGTCCCAGTTAGCCAAAAGGCTGTCAGCACCTACACGATTTTATTCACTATCATTCTTGTTTTGCTCAGTAGAATTTTTGTACTGAAGAAATTATAACTTGGATATATTATTTTGGACTTTTGGATACCTATCGTCGCTTTTTACCTATATATGTTTTACTAACCTTTGAAAATTCTTTCAGAAACTAGCCTACATATTTTCGAAAATAAACTAATTTTATGATATATGGATTTCCAGCGTATGCGTATTAAATATTATTATTAAAAAGAGTTTTTTTCAAACAGTAGTGAATTACAACAACAAAAATTAATTTTGTATTATTTTAATTAATTGAATTTTTGGCTGATCATACAGCTGTACCGAGTATTGCCAAATACCCATCATCAGTGGTCTTGGAAATAATTCTTATATATAATTATTCGTAAATAATTTTTTGAGACTGCAAGTACTAGGAATCGACCTCATGTCCAGCCAAATTTGAAGCACAGAATCGGTCTTATTATTAAATAAATTGATCTTAGTTAAACAATTTTTAGATATTTTGCTATAGACGGACTTATCCGATAGAGAAATATCTCAAATATATCAAACTAAGCCAGTCAAAGTCATTAAAAAAAAGATTTATAGATACCAAATGTACACCCAACGTTTCGGTAAACATTATTGACAGTAGTAGATCTGTAAAAATGATGAGAGAGTCAGGTTTTACACGCATTTAAAGATAGGAAATAAAGACACTCAAATGCACTCGCAGTAAACGTTATGGACGATGGCTAGTCTAAACAAATGTTAGAAAGGTTCAAAGCTATTCTGTAAAGCTTTCAGTAAGTATAAAGTCTTATAAATATTTGTAATTACAAAATAAAGCTATTCCAGGTATGCCAGTGATTGCCTTCTAAAAAAAATATATTTAAAAATTATTTAAAGTATTTAACAATAAAAAAAAAGAATGTATTATATATAAAAATGTGAACATTAGAAATAAAATCCGTTTACGCGATTGTTTTCTGTGTGGCAACAGAATCTTTTGCTCTAGCAATTATTGGCAATAAATTAAGTCGATAGGCCAAAGGCTAGAAAAAATGAATCATATTTCAAAAAAAAAATTAAATTTAGTTCAAAATCGGTGGTATGTTTCTATGGGCAACTAGAAACTCCAATCTATTTCTGTAAAATGTTGAAATATTTTTAGCTAAACGGAGCAGAGTTTTGGCATTGTTTGACGAAAGACAAAAGTGCCATGAGTAATAAAATGGACATGTATAAATTAATCTGGATCAATTGATAGCAATAACTGGAATTCGTTTAAAATATGTCCAAACTTTTATACAAAAAACCAAAAAAAAAAAAAAAAATTATTTCATATGAATTACGCAATTTTATACAAATTCATTGATTAACAGCGCTCAATCAAGCCGAAAAATAAGAAATTATAATTTTTAATGTTTTTAAATTTTTTTTAATTTGTTAATTATTTTGTGGTCTTGATTTTATGGCTTTTACGTTGAACAACAAAAAAATAGTAAAAGCAAAAGTAAAAAGTGTGAATAAAAAATTGCATAAAATTATCGCAATAAAAAATAAAAATTAAAAAAAAATTCCAAAACCAGAAACCACTCTGAGGCCTTTTAGTATTCCACAGATAAATTTCGGTTATTTGTTCAATTTTGTGTAAATTTGTTAAGTAGATTTTAAACTTGTTTGTATCTTCATCATCTTGTAAATGATAAAAAAAGTTATTTAAAATAATAAAAAATATGTATCTTCTAACATTAAAGCTGTTGTCTTAAATTCGCAAAAGCACGACCCAAACATCAAATATTTTTGGACTTCTGAAATGAAGCGCAGATGGTTCCTTAGTATTTTTTGACTCAAACGACTATTACTAAAAATATTTGTTTATTTATTTTTGTATATTTAATATTTGTGCCTTTCTAAGCCGTTCACTAAAAATATTTTAAGTATTTTAGATAGTTAATGAAGCAGGAATTATCGTCGAAATCGTGATCGAGACCAAATTTTTTTAACGATTTTTACCAACTTTTTTATTGCAGGAAAAATAACACTCATTGCGTATTATAAAATTATTTTTAATTTTCATAACAAAATAGTTAAATATGTTTATTACCTATTATATAGTATTTTTAATTATATATAAATAAGCAAGTATGTATGAAATGAGGACGATAAAATACATGATTGTAAATAACCTTCAAGAGAAATTAATTAGAGATAACTATTATAATTGTTATGTGAAGCTGAGATGTACTGCGGCCAGAGTAGTTCTAATTGTAAAAAGCCTTGGTTTTTGAGGCTATAAATTTTAACATAGTTTTCTACCATATTTTGTGTGGAAGCCTAGCAAATCAAAGTAGTGGCGAAGCCTTTGTCTAGCATTCGCAAAAAATATGCTCACTATTTGCAAAGAATATATTCTGAGTTTCCGATGTATATTTCACAAACTTCAGACACATTAGCATCGGAAACCCCCAACATGTCTAGATATGGTAGATAGATAAATTTGGCAGCTTGTCTTAAATAAGTATGACGCTCTTGGGCTCGAAAGATAGCTACATTTGGGAGCTTGCCTTAAATAAGTATGCCGATCTTGGGCTCGAAAATTTTATTCCTTGTGATATCATATTTCATACATGTACATAAACATAAATACATATAAATAATTATTTTCAAAATTTAAAAATAATGAAATATTAACGATTCCAGGACTATTCTATGCTTTACGCTTTAAAAAAGCTGTGAATCTCTTTAATACTTATTTAAGTGATATTGGGCAGTTATTTCACAAAGCGATATCCGAATGATCGATTTTTAGAGAGTGCTGAGCACTGACAGTTTACTGAGCACTGACTTTTTTCCTCCACTTATGATCCGCAACTGCTATTTATTTTATTTATTTTTTGTTATTATTTCCTTGAGAATTCATTACAATATCAATTTAAATAATTATCGCTCCTGTCGGAGCATAGGGCGGCAACTGAAATAATAATCATTTAATGAAGTTCTTAATAGATTGGTGTGCCTAACAATGAAATAGTGTTTCTTCAGCACGGCGTTTGTGTCGTAGAATCAGTGTCAAGCAAATCTTAGCAATTTTTCTATTTTTTTTCGAGTCATAAGCAGACCATTTCATATGCATAGCTAGACAAATGTGTTGACTGCACTTTATTTGGTTTGCTGTTATAAAATATTTTACACTTACAGCTTGTTTGGCTGAAGCTAAAGAGATCCTACAACAGAAATGATTGATTTGACAGAAAATTATGTGCCATGTCTATTAAACTCTTCGATTTTACAATTGCCAGAAATGCTTCTGTGACCTAAAACTGATTTCAGGTTAACTATTGAATGCATTGACATCTTATTTGGAGCATCCTTTCCAAATGAGAAAGGAGCTTAGATGTTCTGAATATACTAACAAGAAAAGTAGCTAAAAAGATGCTTTCCAAAAAAAGCTCAGTTTCCTTCCGGGT